TAATTTGTGCATCATAATTATGAGAAGGAAATAAAGTATTTCTAAAATAATACGGAAGGATTATATTTCTTCTAGATTCTGAAAACCGGAATCCTGGCTTTAATACCCCAGACCATTCGTCCCGGTGTTATCGCTATCGCCACACGAGACTCCAGCTTGTCTCCTATACAAATTTTCCTTCCGCCCACTTAATTTTAATATTCATATGACCTTTGCACTGACATCGATAGCCAATCACATTCGACCGCGGACGTCACTCTAAATAAACAACTGAATAAATTAATATACCATATTTGGAAGATAGCGGGTAAATTCAACGTTGTTGGTGTGTTAATGGAACTATAAACCCCATGGAACTTCGGGTTCCGAAGTCGCACGAAACGCAAGTAAAACAGGTTGATATGTATTAAACATGGCATTTGTTTTCTTGTTTTAACCCCCTTATTACGCAAGCTTCCGTCGAAGTGGTGTTTTTTTTGACGATTTGTGGCATGTTGCAAAACGAACGAAACATTGCGGCATTCTTAGCGGTGGATAAGGGATCGACTATGTTGTCACATTTATGTCTCGTTTGAAAGAGAATCAACAACCGCTCAGAAAAATCATATGTTGCTAATATTTAAGTGCGGTGCCTTGAAATCGCCTGCCCGACGTCCAAATTTCAAAAGGATGTTCGATTTGCAATGACGACCGTTCATTCTTAGTACATCCATGATATGTACTAGGCGACGTTACTAATTACTACTAGGGTCGGTGTTTGCATTAAGAATTATAGAACAAAGATCAGCAAAGCGTGCTTTGTCGACGATTTGTCAAAGGGAATATTGATAAAATGTTGCAAAACAGAATCGCGAGTTGGGTGAAAAATTGCGCCGGCGGCATTCTCAGCGATGGCGACACCCGAGAAACACCGTGTCACGGTGCATTCGTGCATCAGTACACCGAAGAAATACATACATATTGTTGCGGACGACTATTGTAGACTGTGTTCGTGTAGTCTTCGAGTTTGTGGACAGTTAAAGTCGTGTGTGAATTTATTCAAGCCAGGAAAAGCAGGAGGGATAACTTATGGAAATCGTCTTTCCAATTTGATCCAGTGCGACGTTGTGAAAGGAGCGACTCTGTCGTCTCATCTATGTCTAGTTTGTAAGAGAAAGATTGATAGCGCAGAAAAATCCGCCAATAATGTAAAACAGTGGCGTGAAATTGTCAGTCATTCTAATATCTCCCAACCTGTGAATGAAAGGGTTAAGCCTGCTGCCTTGAAATCGCCTGCCCGACCACGATGAACTAATCAAAACTAAAATGGCGCGTGTCACGTGACTTTGTTTACTAAAGATAGCGTGGGCGTTTGATTGACACTCAACTCATTAGTATTCCACCAATCACAGCTACATCTACTTTCTGGATGTGCGCAGTCAAATTGTATAGGAGACAAGCTGGAGTCTCGTGTGGCGATAGCGATAACACCGGGACGAATGGTCTGGGGTACTATTATCTAAGCCTGTATGCATTTGCAGGCAGTGTATGTACAACAATTTCACAAAATTAATTCATATTGGAGTCAATCATAGTAAAAAGGCTTTATTTTGTATATACCTATTTGAATACAAAATGCACGACATTACAACAAATGAATTTCACCTGACTGAGTAAATTTTGTGAAAATACGACTTAGAGGGAACACTGAATTTGAGGTATATTTTGCTTGCTGTGATTATCTCAATTGCCATATTTTGTTTGTTTGAATAAACTGCATAGTGGGTGTTATGCAGGTAAAAAAACAACCAGAGAACACGTACACACATGCAAACAAAGAAACACACACACAGCTGTAACAGTCTTTATCATTGGCTTGATTCACATTACCGGTATGTAAGGAATTCCCATTTTGCTACATTTTTTTCTTTTTCCTTCTCTGCAGAATTTACAGAAAATTACACACAAAGTACATGAGAAGAATGATGTTTCAACAACAACAACAACAGAATTAATGGAACTTGGAATTCATGATTGGGTAAGAATAGATGTGCCCTCTAGTGGTGAGAATTAACAACTCTCTCTTTTTCAACAAATTGATTACTTTTCAATGACAGTCAGCAGTAGTGATAAGTTTAGTTTTTGTTTTTTTCATGAATAATTAGGCTCGATTGTGGATGCAAGTGATAAAACAACTAAGAACTGGTGTTCAGTTAAAAAAGTCTGGTGAAAGACGACGTGCACCGATAGAATACGAGCTTACACCATATGAAATGATACTGGATGATATTAGATCACGAAAGTTCATACTTAAACAAGTTATGGTAAGTTGGCAGTTGTTAATTTTGTCTAAAATGTTAATCCAGTCTAAAATATGAGTGCAGTTTCTATAAATTATTTGCCTCATTTTAATTTTTCGGCTTGAAATAATTTGCATAAAAATGTTACCTATTCTTGGGGGCGGACATCCGGACATTTTCACCGTATGGCAACCATCACTGTGAAAACCAAAGGCCTAAAACTCTCAGAAAACGGTACTTTGGGATGGTTGTTGAGACTCCCCTGAACAGTGTTACAAGATTACCCCTGCGTGTGTAACGCATATAAATTTGATTGTTCAGGATTACTTCAAAGTTGAGTTCCTGTTGTTTTTTCAAATTTTCAGCAGCTTTTCGCCCGGCGTACCGCGTTCCACACCAGCTCGCGTGGAGCCCATACAAATACATGGTACAGTGGTGCGCGTCTTAGGAACGTGGAACGTCTTGTGACGTAGCTCCGCCCCAAGGATAACATGCCATTGTCCATATTTGGCATTTACTTTAATTTATCACAAGATATTATTCTTTTGCATTCCATTGGTCTTAAATCTGCATAATGTTCAAACATTAAATTCAATTCCTGCAGGGCAGTTGTCATTTAGCAACACATATACCTGCATATTACTGGATTTATGACATTTTATGCTAAACACTAGGGTTTATATTGTACAATAATCAAAACACCTAACACCTTTTTATGGTGTATTGTAGTAAGAATAATGAACATTCCATAGCAACATATTCGATTCAGAGTGGATTCTATGTCTCACACTCCCTCGCATAGAGTTGACAGCTCATCCAATAAGGTTGTTAGACTTAATCATTGATGTACTAAAAAATGTAACGTGCAGATAGACACGCATATATATCATTCACTGCGTTCTTTTATTCCAAGTTCATACTATGGTTAAGATAACATAAAAAAAACCTGTGTAGACAAAATATGTAAACACATTAATAAGTACATTTGACTCAATGAAGTGTCAATATTATACAATTAGTTATTGCAATAAATTTCAATAGGCTGTCTAGCTCAGGGACTACATGTACATTTTGATATCAGGGAGATATAAATACATATTTGTCAGAAAAACAGAAAGTTTATGTTGCTGCAAACATGATAAATAAAAACGTATTCATCTAAGAAATATAACGGCAATAAATCTCAGAAATACATTATATAGAAATATACAAAATAGCTCACCCTGACTAGAACAACTCTAAATTGAGTGAGATACAGTGCTCTCCTCAGCTTCAGGTCGCCATTCACACAGCTCGAGCTCTATATGTCAAATACATGCAATTGTACACATTTTAGAAGATTATCAAGAAAAATGTGCTTGACTGACAATAAACTCATAAAAAAATGGGCATAGAATATATATCAAGAACTTTAGCAATGATATCCGAAGGGGATGTGACATTTTATATAAAGCAGAAGAACAATTCAAAAATGTCATAGACGATATGCATTGTCATAGACGATATGCATTGTCATAGACGATATGCATATAGTTCAACAAAAAATATAAAAATTTCGAAAATATTTTAAATAACTTCAGTAACCTCAATTACAAAGATTAAACTTACCAG